TCCCAGCACCGTGCGCCTTATCCTGGTCCCCGGCAACTGCATCTTGTGCGAAGACTATCGCGACTGCCACACCTGTAGCAAGGTAGGAAAAAAAGATGGTGTAAAAAAGATGGTGAAAAGAATCGGCTTGGAAGGGAAGGAAGTGGCTGGGATATCTCTTGGCTTTAAGATGGCGCAGGGCTCGTCTCCAAACGTGGCAACTTTTAAGGCTTGTGGACTTCAGTTCCCAGAATTCCCCCAGCCAGCATTCTAGGAGCTAAAGTCTGCAAGTCTTGAAGCTGCCAAGTTTGGAGTCCCCTGAGCTAGTGGTATGGGATGAAAGATACCCTTGGATAGATGTTTGGAAGGACGGTTTTGCTCTCTCCCCCCAGGATCCCTTCTGCGAATGGCAAGTGAATAGCAGCAAAAAGGGAGATTTCCTTTGCAGTCGCCGAGGCCGTCTTAACGCTGCCATCCGCTCCCCAAGAGAATGCCCCAAACTCTGCAATCAGTGAGTGTGCTGGGAAGAGGGAGGCCTTTGGGATGGATGTGTTACTTATTTTATTTATATCCCGCCTTTATTATTTTATAAATAACTTAAGTGACGAACTTATCTACTACTCCTTGCTTCTATTTTCCCTACTGGGCTGAAAGAGAGTGATTGACCCAAGGACACCCAGCCAGCTTTCATGCCTAAGGCGGGACTAGAACTCACAGTCTCCTGGTGATTGGCCATAGTCACCCAGCTGGCTTTCATGCCTAAGGCAGGATTAGAACTCACAGCCTCCTGGTGATTGGCCATAGTCACCCAGCCGGCTTTCATGCCTAAGGCAGGATTAGAACTCACAGCCTCCTGGTGATTGGCCATAGTCACCCAGCCGGCTTTCATGCCTAAGGCGGGACTAGAACTCACCGTCTCCTGGTGATTGGTCCAAGTCACCCAGCTGGCTTTCATGCCTAAGGCGGGACTAGAACTCACTGTCTCCTGGTGATTGGCCCAAAGTCACCCAGTTGGCTTTCATGCCTAAGGCGGGACTAGAACTCACCGTCTCCTGGTGATTGGCCCCAAATCATCCAGGATTTGTCTGCGGAAAATCTGAAAGGCTGAGGACTAGTCTGTCTGGACCAAAGCAAGCATCATGGCTTCATCCTCTTACCTTTCTTCTCCTTAAGCAGCCTGGGTGATGGTTGGGTTGGTATCCAGGTTCAAATGTTGAATGTTGGCTCGGGACTGGAAGAACACGGGGGATGTGGGAAATGTTTCCGAGAGGCGCAAAGCTCAGCATGGCTTCTTTCTCCTCTCTCTCCCCCCTCCAGGCGGACCACCTGCTCGGAGTGCCTCTCCAATTCCAGCCAGTGCGCCTGGTGCCAGTCCACCCGGAGCTGCTTCTTCTTTGCCGCCTACCTGGCGAAATACCCCTACGGGGATTGCCGTGGGTGGTACGACAGGTACGGCCGGTCCAAAGCGAGCACGGGCAGGCCGAGAAGCCATGTTCCTTTCCTCCCTCAAGCACATATCTGAGGGGTCTTTCTTCTCCAACTAGGGAGCAGGTTGAGAGAGCAGGCATCTCTTAGACCAGGGGTCCCCAACCTTTTGGGCACCAGGGACCGGTTCCGTGGAGAGAGGTTTTTCCGCGGACCGGAGAGTGCGTGGTTTTGTATGCTACCTGCATCCTGCGGATGGGGCTTTGCTTGTTTATATGGACTGGTTGTAGGCATGCTACGGCCCGGTACCGGTCCATGGACCGGGGGTTGGGGACATTCTCACCTGAAGGGGTATTGATGCTTAGTCTCTATTAAGCCCCGATGAAGGAAATAGTGGAAAGAAGCAGCTCTCTCTCTCTCCCTCCCTCCCTCCCTCCCTCTACTTCTACCTCTACCTCTGCCTGTCTGTCTGTCTGTCTGTCTGTCTGTCTGTCTGTCTGTCTGTCTATCTGTCTATCTATCTATCTATCTATCTATCTATCTATCTATCTATCTATCTATCTATCTATCTATCATCTATCTATCTATCTATCTATCTATCTATCTATCTATCTATCTATCTATCTATCTATCACAGTCTATTTCTATCTGTCTATTTCTATATCTTATCTATCTCTATCTCAGTCTGTCTATCTCTATCTCTATCTCTGTCTTTCTGTCCATCCATCCATCCATCCATCCATGCTACTTAGTTTTTTGCCCTCCTATAACAGCTCTATCTTGATTTCATTTGATTAATTCTTAAAATTTTAAATGTGTGGCATTAATAAAATGCCATAAACATCAAACACTTTTTAAAGAGATTGTGGGGGGGAAAAAAGACTTTTTTATCATCTACCTGAACCAAGAAGTTTCCAGTAATGGAAGGAGGCTTTCAGTTGCCTGCCTCTTTAGGTCTGCCTCTCCTTGTTTGCGGTTACACACTTAAAGACAGAGTGGTCTGTTTTTTTTTCTCTCTCTCTAAGCCAAAACCTGTTCCTTCTGGTCACTAAATCTGGACAAGGAGACTTATCATTGACTGAAAAAAAAAAAAGTCAGAATGGCGGATTTTGGTACTTGGGGGCATCTGTGAAAGTACGCAAAGATGAGAGAAAGAATCTCATGTTTCCTTTGAATGAAAAGCTGACGTTTGCAACTCTGGATGTTAGTTTCTGTCTGCAGAATTGCACCAATAGTTGAATGGTTTCTCTTCTCCAGCGTTCACTCTGTGCCCCAATGCCTGGACTGCACCCGCTTCAACTCCTGTCGTGAATGTTTGCAAAACTTCGAATGCGGCTGGTGTGGCAACTCGGACAACCCGACCTTGGGCAGGTGAGTCCACTGTATATTTTAATTTTTTTTGTCTTCCTTGACCTTGCAGCCATGGTGTCAGCCTTAGTTTTGTTCACCGAGAGCATAGAAAGCTAGCACAGAATGTGGGTCCATCAATCTTTATACACGGAAACAGAAATGTCAGGTTTAACTTCCATACTTTCAACATCAATTTACTAGTCCTCGTGGCTTTGAAGGTCTACTTAAAGAGAAGATTTTAGTCTCTTGTGTTGGTCTTGCCAGAGAGTTGCCTAGTTTTTTTTTTCCAGTACAGGGTCCTGATTTTATTGTGTGTGGGTTTTTGTTGCTTGCTATGGTAAAATCATCGAAAAGGTACACAGGGAATCCTCGACTTATGACTGGAAATTAAAACAGCCTTGCAAAAAGTGACCTGTCCTCAAGGTTATGTGCTTATACCTTAGGCCAAGGGTCTTCAAACTTGGCCCTTTTATGACTTGTGGACTTCAACTCCCAGAATTCCTCAGCCAGGCGTGCCTGGCTGAGGAATTCTGGGAGTTGAAGTCCACAAGTCATGAAGGGGCCATAGTTCCCCCATGCTGGCTGAGGAATTCTGGGAGTTGAAATCCTCAAATCATGAAGGGGCCATAGTTCCCCCATGCTGGCTGAGGAATTCTGGGAGTTGAAGTCCACGAGTCATGAAGG